GATATTTCCATGTGTTCCAGCTTGCTTTCTGGAGATTTTACATTTTCTTTCTGGTCATCCTCATTACTTTCCTTGTTCATGGTATTTGCTGTCCTCCTTTGCTTATGCATTTATCTCTGAAGAGGTCTTTCTAATATTTTCCAGTAGGTAGTGCTGAATTGCAAGATTGTTTTACCTCTGTGATCTCCCAGTCTTGAACCACTGCTGCTTCTGTAAGACAGTACAGCTAAGCTGCTTGGGGGTGGGGTTTTTTTGCCCTTACCATAATGGTAACCCCTGATCTCTATGGGGTTCCATCCCAAGCACCCTTCCTGGAGATGTCACAAAGGGAAACAGTGGTTTTCCTGCAATAGCTCTTGGTTTACAGATAGTATGTTCCTGGACCCAACTCTAAAGGCAAAGGGAGGTGAGTTTTGGAAATCCAAGTAGAGGCAGGGCTCCATGGTTTTGTTTCTTTGTGTGAAACATCACCACCAGCTGGACAGTGGGGAGCAGCATGGCAGAACCATGTGCTCTGTCAGGGATCTGCTGACTCAGACACTCCCTCACAGCTTGCACTGCTGGGATGCACCCCCAGGAACCTCCAGCCCCTGCACTCTCTGTTCCTCCCGGCCAAAGGAAGCACATACTACCACCAGCTTACTTCCCTCTCCCAGCCAGCCAGGGGCTGCATCTGTAGGTCCTCTCTTCTCATCTCCCCATTTATTCCTGGTTGCCCACTTTTAGATGTTTCAATGTGCAGGTCTCTTAGGCATGCATCTGTGTTTAGCAGGGATTTGTATATTGAATTATAGTTGGTTAACTTCTTGAAATTTCAGTAGCAGAGGACAAGGGCCTCTCTCATGCCACCATTACTCTGATGTGATTTGCATTTATTCTTTGCCCCTCTTTTTTTTACTCACATAGTGTCATTTTTCAGGACTGTGCATTTTGTGTTTTTATTTATTATCTTTAAAAGATTATTCTATTCCAATCTACAAAAAGACTCTCCATTATTTTTTTCCAGTGCATTTCATTGTATGCGTGTGCTATAAATTACATATCAAATCTTCTCATAGTGGGAATTTTGTTTCATGATCATTTCCTACAAATAATTATTTAGATACACTGCATTGTTTTCCTATTTGAGTATCTAGTTAGTATGCATACTATGTCAAAATTTTTTTCATGGCACAGTGAAAAGTTTACTTCCTCTGGTGACTTAAGAACTCAAATAAAAATGTGCTAACTACTTGGCAACACTCCAATTATTTGGCCTTTGCAAAGCTAAAGGTGACTCACACTTGCATGCATGCACACTGACACCTAGAGACACAGCTCCAAGATTCACAGGTAGACTTACCTCCAAATCTGTTAAATATGTCAATGCCATTCTTGTGGTATTTCCTCCGGTGATGCTTACAAAACAGAAGATCTAAAGTATACTTAAGTGTTTTAACCTGACTTTTATTACATGAAGAAAGAGGTGATTTTCATCAGTATTTTTAAATGGGGAAACCAAGGATTTTTCTCAACACTTATGATAGTAAATGACATTGAAAATACTTCCCTATTCCAAATATGGAATGCTGATATATCTCTAAATTGCACTGCTCATTTCTTAAGAAAAGAAAAAGAAAAAAGATATGGGTATTGCATAACAGGATCTCTTCATCCTTAATACTGTGTTTTAAGGCAAGAAGCATATACAGAAAGGCAGAAAAAATTAAATTGTTTAGGTGAAAGCATAAAATAAAATATTACCTTTAGCTCAGTTTACTTTTATCCCTGACTTATATTGGCAAATAATTTTTCCATATTTTAGCATATAGAGGTCACACATGTGAACACTCCTACTAGCATTACCTGAAGCTGTATGATTCCTCACACTCTCACATGGTCATTAACAAAGTTTTGGATCTTTATCCATCTGAGAGTCAAATATAGCATACATTGTTATATTAGGAAATTTGTATGTCTTTCATTATGAATGGAATGGAATATTTTCATTTAAATGCGATTTGTATTTCTGTTTCTGGAAACAAGTTGTTCACTTTTTGGTCCATTTTTCTATTGACCTGTTGAAACATTTCTTATGGATCTGGGAGCTCTTTATGTGGTAGAGGAGTTAGTTTATTTCTTTACACCAAAGATGCTCAAAACCTAGTATGTGTCAAAATCACCTGGAGAGCTTGCTATTTATTTGCAAACATTTACTTAGAAAGTAATGTCAATCTTGCAGATTTATTGCAATAATAAAAATCATGTAAATAATACCGTATTGCTCTTTATCAGATGTACTAACTCTGAACATTTAACCTCCATATTCTTTATCATTTTCATATTTCTTTTCTCTCTCTCTCTCTCTCTCTCTCTCTCTCTCTCTCTCTCTTTCTTTTCTCACCTATTTACACTAAAATTAATTTTTAAAATGTATCGTTATGGATTTAAGATGATTTGAAAAATGAGGCAAGGAAAATTTTAATCTTTAAAAAATAGGCAGGAAACCTAGTGAGTTTAGCTGAGTGGATAGAGCACCAGTGTGTGGACTTAAGGGTCCCAGGTTTGATTCTGGTCAAGGGCACATGCCTTGGTTGCAGACTGAAAACCCAGCAGGGGACTGCAGGAGACAGCCAATCAATAATTTTCTGTCATCATTGATGTTTCTATCTCTCCCTCTCCCTTCCTCTCTGAAATCAATAAAAATATATCTTAAAAATAAATAAATAAGTAAATAAGTAAATCATAAATAATAGGCAGGAAATATTAATTTCAAGCTACCATCATCATCAGTACTTTTCCTTCTTTAACCAAGGATTTAAATCTGTAAGGAACAGGTGTTGCAGGGATGATGTGAGTAAGTACAAGCGGGGGAGATGATCCCTGGACATTGAGTCTCCAGATACAGACACTGTCACACAGTATCATGTCATAGGGATGGAGGATGGTGCTCAACATGGAGCCATGTGCCTCTCTGACTGTCACATGATAACCTATAAGCATAGTCGTGAAGAAAAATCAACCCTATGATTTCCAGGGCTTGGTCCTGAATGAGGACTCCCTTATCCCTCAATGTTTACAGGGTCTAAATTTAATCAGTTCAGGACCCCCTAGAATTCTAATAGTGTTCATAAAAATCACAAATTTACCTTGCTCCTCCACTCCGAATTTTGTTGAACTCTGCCCAAACTGAAAATGGTAGAAGGGTCATTAACCCAGATTAGGTGAGTGTGACTGCTCTCTCCTCTTTCCTGGGTCCCAGGAGGAGGATCCCGCCCAGGCTGTGATCACCTATGTGGGGCTGAGCCTCTCTCTACTGTGCCTCCTCCTGGCGGCCCTCACCTTCCTGCTGTGCAAAGCCATCCAGAACATCAGCACCTCACTCCACCTGCAGCTCTCAATCTGCCTCTTCCTGGCCCACCTGCTCTTCCTCACGGCCATCGACAGAACTGAGCCTAAGGTACCAACACTGTCCCAAAGGAAGCATGCCCTGACCGTGGAATGAGTAGTACACTTGCATTGGACACCTTAATAAAATGACTGGGTATGGGGAAGATTAGAGGGGTGAGTAGCCAATTTCACATTGACCAAACTAGAAATTATACCTTCTTCTTTTTTTCTCTCTTTTTAATATATTTTTATTGATTTCAGAGAGGAAGGGAGAGGGAGAGAGAGAGAGAGATAGAAACATCAATGATGAGAGGGAACCATTGATTGGCTGCCTCCTGCGCGCCCC